AGGTATCTGCCTCTAGCATATACATGATAATCATTTCTAGAGTAGATGATATAATCAATAACCATTGGCAGTGATGCAGCATAGCATCAGTAACCATTAAACTGACTACAATAGCAGAGTACATGATATAACCTATTATCAAGAGATTCGCTTGGCACCATCAAAACTCATGAAATACATCATTGTACGTAATTCGCAATGAACCTAATTAATTTATACATGGAATCCAACCCTTCACAGGCAATTATCATAGTATATGCATGTTTGATGATTGCACAAACTACTTAAACACTTAAGTTACTCCCCATTCCCCATCTGATACTTAACTCAAGTAGCAGACCAGCTACATAATTTGTCCCATTGATTTAAAGGCATTTAGATGATTACCTCTTACCCCGTACAACGCCAAAGAGGATGTTGAGGGAGATAACACATCTATAGGTGTTCTATGGGGACGCTCGACTCAAATCTCCAATTCATATATCATGCCAAAACCAAGGGAATCAGGTAATTGCTCATCCTGTGACATATGAATAGGGAACCAGACACATATAAAGAATTCATGAATCAAAAATTACGTATTAAGCGGATTGTCGAGTTGCGTATCAAGCGTTAGTCTTAAAGATTAATCCTTAAATCCTAACCGACCTATTAAGTTTTAAGGTTAAGTAGTGGAGCTTGCACTTGCAAATTAGTTTAATTGTGATTTGAAAGAGTAGACTTGGCATTTTTTAGTGGACAAACTAATGAAAAGAGTTCAAAATTTAACATCAAAACACAACAAAAAGGTGATCATCAAAAATTATTTTTGGACTAATAATACTAACAAAACACTATAACGGATCACATAATACATATCCATATGTCATCTACGCCCGCGACAAGGCGCGGCATCTCCACTTAGTAACATATATAAAGTTTCAGCTCAAAGAACATGCAATGAAAAGAGAGCAAAAGCGAATCAATCCAAGTCCTCAACTCTACAAACTATGGTTCTAATATTCTCCTTAGCATGACCTATTTCATAATCTTTGCTTATAGTACAATATGACTGCTAAGAAACAAATCTAATATACTAACTTCTTTAGAAGAATATGCACAGAGTAAATAAGAAACTAATGGTTGCCATCAACTCTCAAGAACAACATTGCTGTGCCTAAATGTACATCTGGTGGAAAAACGAATAAGATGTACTATAACTTCATTAGAAGCATATGCACACACTACGGCATAAACAAAACAAAGTTACATATACAATAATACTTAGCAGATCATGACATATAAAAAGCAGAAATTGTTACTCATGCACTCAAACAGTGATCTATGCAAAATACAATACAGAGTTTGAACTTTCTCATGGATTTGGGTCTTGCTAATTCATCATACAGAGCAACAACACATGGAGTTTAAACTAAGAGAAAACCCCAGGAATTATGCTGTAAGCTAGAATGCCATTCCCACGGCTCTATCACGTAATAGAAATTATGAAATAATGAACTTTGAGCTTGAATGAAAAGGTGACTCAAAAGTGTGCTAAAATTCTAGTCTTTCCAAAGTTGCAATCAGATTGGGAAATCCAAAATTCATATTATAGTTAAACAAACTGGGAATCAAATTATACTATTCCCACTTTGTTGCCTATTATCCTCAAGTTCATATGGGCTAAGGGGGGAAATAAACAGTACTGCAAATGGATTAATGAATCATCGCAAGCAGCTCCTCCTAATCAAACAAAATGAATAAAATTTGGGGTCTGACCTTAGCTTGGAACATTTACTGGATAGAGAAAACTGAAATTGAAAAGAAAGGGGGAAAAAACAAAGAGGGAGAAGGATACAAACAGAGCAACGGAGTAATCCCTTCTTCTCCATCAAATCCTATAACAAAGTAATCCCCAACAAAGCTTTCCTCAACAAAGAATCCAACCACGACCACCATTGAACCGGCCATTCTCAATCTCGATCAATCCACCAGAGAGTTCCATCAATTAGGGTTTCTAAAATGGGGAAAGGAAGAACTAATCCCCAATCAAACTTTGGATGTCAATCGTGCTAGGTAGGGCTTAAACCCAGTATGATTGAGTGGTAAGCATGGAAATGGCAGAGAAACTTTCTCCATGGAATCGATTTTGAAGGGAAGAAGACTTAATCCGACTATCGCACCTTTAGTTTTCGCGGAGGTGATTAAGATATACTAGAAAAATGGCCCGCGCGTTGCGACGTGTATGTTCATATCACGGAATATAAATGAATTTGTATGGGAATGAAATCTGTAACAATAGTTCTAACGTTGTAATATGTTTAAAGAACACAGCAATGGTATGTTATTGTTACAAAGATTGCAGCACATTGCAGGCAGTGACATACACAGTAATTTTATTATGGTGGGTTGAACAATGGCACCGGTCCTTATGAACGGCAAGCGACTGTCCGCAACCTAATTCAGTTTTTTTTTCACGATGAGGCTTTCGGTCAGGATCAGAATCATGCCGACCAAGAGCAACGACATCATCTTCTTCTATCTAACTACTTGCCCATTAACCATAAAAAAAAACTCCGCGTATACGGAAGACGAAGAGGTCTTAATCCTGATGCCCACACGTCTTTAATTTGCACCTGCTATCTTACATATTTCTTGTTCGCAATTTCTAGTTTTTACAAAGGAAATCTTTGATTGAAGATGATAAGAAACAAAGACTTTCATCCGAAAAGTCTACTTAATTATGTTTAATTGAGTTTTATCAGTAGCAAGGCCACAAATTTAGCTTAAACCCACTAACCTAGGAGATGTCGTGTAGCTAGCCAACGGAAGTTTGTTAAATAGAAATGTAAGCCCATTTCTATTTAATTGATAAATATGGCTTTTTCTAAAACATAGTCGTTTTAATAAACACAGAAGGCAGGTTTGTTTTTATGTTTTTCGATCAAAACACATGTTTGTATAAGCTTGGACGAAGAACATATTATGAACAAAGAACAAAGAATGCAGAATTGGAATAATATGTAGAAGCAGTTCATGTACATATTAATTTGTAACTGTCTTATTAAGAGTACATAAATGAAAATTTCTTGGTGATCTGCTTCTCCTTGCCTTTGTGCTTTCCACTGGTCCATTACCTTGCAAAATCTGTTCACATATATTGCAGCGAAATTCGTATTGATTGGTGAGTTAGTAGCTTGTTGAATGGTTTTGGTTATTGTGAAGGTAAGAAGTAGCATGAAGAACAAAGGTATCTGCCTCTAGCATATACATGATAATCATTTCTAGAGTAGATGATATAATCAATAACCATTGGCAGTGATGCAGCATAGCATCAGTAACCATTAAACTGACTACAGTAGCAGAGTACATGATATAACCTATTATCAAGAGATTCGCTTGGCACCATCAAAACTCATGAAATACATAATTGTACGTAATTCGCATTGAACCTAATTAATTTATACATGGAATCCAACCCTTCACAGGCAATTATCATAGTATATGCATGTTTGATGATTGCACAAACTACTTAAACACTTAAGTTACTCCCCATTCCCCATCTGATACTTAACTCAAGTAGCAGACCAGCTACATAATTTGTCCCATTGATTTAAAGGCATTTAGATGATTACCTCTTACCCCGTACAACGCCAAAGAGGATGTTGAGGGAGATAACACATCTATAGGTGTTCTATTGGGACGCTCGACTCAAATCTCCAATTCATATATCATGCCAAAACCAAGGGAATCAGGTAATTGCTCATCCTGTGACATATGAATAGGGAATCAGACACATATAAAGAATTCATGAATCAAAAATTACGTATTAAGCGGATTGTCGAGTTGCGTATCAAGCGTTAGTCTTAAAGATTAATCCTTAAATCCTAACCGACCTATTAAGTTTTAAGGTTAAGTAGTGGAGCTTGCACTTGCAAATTAGTTTAATTGTGATTTGAAAGAGCAGACTTGGCATTTTTTAGTGGACAAACTAATGAAAAGAGTTCAAAATTTAACATCAAAACACAACAAAAAGGTGATCATCATAATTAGACTTGGCATGCAAAAGTTCTCTTAAGCTCAGCTCCAAAGGAACCCCATAAGCCAAAGCAACGAATAAACTAAAACATGATTCCATCAATCATTTTAAGAGAAACCCACATAACTATGTAACATGTTAAATGACATCATAAAACCTATCTCCACCTGGACATTCAATTTTCAATACCTTTTAAGAATCCAAACAGGAGGAAAGAAAGCAATGTCAATTGATCAAGTGACTGAGCAGAACATGCGACTCATCCAAATCTTTGAGTCTGTCCCTAACCCATGAGAATTTAAAGTTCAAAATACGTTCAGATGGCCATCAGTAACATCAACATAGAAGAAATTACCAATTGGGAACCATTTCATCTTAAAACCCAACATCAGAATCAAAGCAAAAACTAAAGAGGAAAAAACTGGACAACAATAGCACCTGCTGGAAGCTTACGGCTGCTTTCCTCTGTTCTTCTTTGCATATCTTGATGGGGATTCGACGAATCGATTGGAAGAACTCTGGTGGAAGACGGTCGACTGGTGGAGTTGGCTTGGCTAGCCGCCAAAAGATGGATGAATGGAGTTACCTTTCTCTCGAATATGGAAGTATGGCTCACCGCCAATCTATCGCAGCTCCTCAGACCGCCAATCTATCGCAACTCCGAATAACGGAGAGAACGAAGGTGGTCACTTTCTTAGCCACCGATCGGTCGGGTCAGGAGAACGGGGAAGAGATCGGATCGATAGGAGGGAGGAATTGATAGGGGTGAGACCGAAGGGAAAGAACGGGGAAGAGACCGGATCGTTAGGATGGAGGAATTGATAGGGGTGAGACCGAAGGGAATGAAGGGAATTTCAGAGAGTGATCTGGTTGATTAGAGTTTGCTGGGAGAGGGGGAAACACGATCCATCTCAGAACCCAACTTCGTCAGCTGCCACGAAAGTCACAGAACTCGATCGGAATCCATCGGCAATTAGAAGTTTGGTGTTGGCTCTTCGATTCTCGACTGGGAGATGGGGAAACACGATCCATCTCCGAACCCAACTTCGCCAGCCGCCACGGAAGTCACAGAACTCGACCACGGAAGTCACAGAACTCTATCGGAATCCACCTCATCTGATCGGCAATTAGAAGTTTGGGCAATTAGAAGTTTGGTGTTGGCTCTTCGATTCTCGGCTCCAGAGATTCGACAGAGAGCAAGAGGGAAGGGATGAAACTTGCCCAATCGCCAGGCTAACGACAAAAGGGAAAGAAATGGGGCTGGGGGCGCACCAAACTTGCGGTAGACCCGCCAGCATATGCACAGACCCCTTAAACCAAAACTTGCGAATTAATATATCTAATAATAATAATAATAATAATAATAATAATAATAGGAGGCAGAGCATGCTCTTCCCTTCCTTATCTATCTTCCCTAAGATCCTTTCCTTTGCTTTGTTTCGATTCTCTGGGAAAAGAAACGGGAGATGAAGAGAATGGAGGTTAGAGAAGAATGGGGTAGAGAAAGGATAGGGGAAAAAAGTTAAACATGAGAGACGGAAGAATGGTCGCAATTTTCAAAAGAAAAAGTCTGACAGGAGAGAGATGCACAAAGACGTGTTTTTAGAGATAAGAATTTAATGGATACGATTCCCTTACAAACTAACTGATCAACGGTCAAAACTTAGCTAGGCCAAAATAGTGAACGGGATCAGCTAAAACCGCCCTCGGGAAATCAAAAGGTTCCACGGTGAACAGTGCTCTGCGCTTTTTTCGTAATGAACAGTATTTTTCGATTATTGGTAATTTTTGTCTGCTTGTGGCTTAATAATTCTAATTTTGGATAGTTTTGGCTATTTCTGTCTAAAACTTAAAACATTTGGCTATTTTATGGCATTTACCCTATAGTAATACTAAGGTGTAAACAGACGCGTGTGAGTGGATGGACTTTTCTTGTAGCTATTTTCTCTCATTTATTCCTCTTGAGATTTACAGTTACAAAAAGGTTCTACTCACAAGTGTCCCTGTACATGTAAGTACACTGACAGAAGTAATCAAGGTTTTAGCTCATATCACGTCACGCCTACTTCTTTTTCTTGTCATCCTTGTCTCTGTCAAGTACGACGGGCGCTGCCGGTATGCTGAACCACCATTCCCTCATTCTCCTTGCACACCTCTCCGAGCTTTCTTTTCTTGACGGCGAGTGCCTTGTGGACACCTCCAGGAAACCCAACAGAAGTACCAACTTCAATGGCAAGATGGCCAGCACTAACCCCATCCCCAACAGCACTGCTGCAAACTTATCGCTCGCCTGAGGAAAGACGGAAAGCAGTAGAGCTCCGACTTTTAGTAGGCCAATGTTGCCATCCTGGATCAGCTGCTCCACCTGGGAAATCGCATTCTGGACAGCGAGAAGCTGTTCCATTGTGTTCATTGGTGGTGGTGCTATTACCTTCAGTTCATTGACCGACTGCCCTCGGTTCAAAAACCGAGTAAGCAACATAAACACGGCCAGGGAAGCCAACATCAGTCCGGAAGCATAGCCCAACCAGTCCCTGAAGCACAACAACTGTGTTAGTGGAACAGCTCCTTCTCCATTCTATTACATCCCTAACTAGCTTGATATTTTCTTGACAACATAATCATTGAGGAGCTCAAATTTTTGAAACCGATGCACGTATACTGAGACAGACACCAAGGCATCGCCATTTTAAGACAAAAATGATAATCTTTTCAGAGTACAACCACTAAAAGATGTACGTTTAGTATATTTCTGCAATAGGTTTGGATCTGTCCAAGGAAACACTATAACAAAGCTAAGTAAAGCGAGAAACTTTTAGGAACCCAGGAGAAAATACAGGGGAGTTGAGGCGGCCATCAAGCAGACAGTTTTGACAACTTAACTTGATGACTAAGCAGCAAATGACTCAACCAGACTCTATAAGTTACCAGTTACCACCAACAGAAGAAATTATGAAATCTCTAGCAGCACTTGGTTGCCAGTTAACAGAAACTGCTACCAGCTCACTTGTGAACAGGCGACATCTTGCAGATCTGCTCCTCAAAGAACTAAACATGAAAGCAACTTTCTGCTCACCTCACCTCAGTTCTGATTCTGAATTGTTTTGCCATATACTGTGGCTGAATGTACATTTCGCATCATTCTTAAAAGGAGATTGGGCTAATGCACAGCTTACTGGAACATGTGACCCAAACACAAAAAGACTTCTGTCTGCCTAACTCGGAATACCCTAAGCCATATCACACTTTTATTACCCTTCAACATATCTCAGTACTGTCTTCGCATATCCAATGATCTAGAGAGTGAACCACCCAACCATCTGAGAAGTCTATTATAACGATGGTGAAAACATTGACTTTGCCAACAGCATATATCCCGATTTTAGGAGTCAACAATTATGTCAAAAGAATGAAAACTTACCTCCAGATGACATAAGAAAAAAACAAGCAGAACAAGAAGGACTTCTTTGGGGCATCCCAATACAACAAGGAAAGAAGCCATTTCCCAACTTCCAAAACTGGGAGCAGAATGTCCTGCAAACATATGATCACAGGACATTATCTAATAATGCCACAAAGACATACGATAGAAGAAGAAAATGCCACAGGACATTATCTAATAACCTTGGATATGCAATTTGATGGGAAACCCTAGTAACAATATGATCATGCAAATTTATTTCTGATAATGTTAAAAAATAACAGATTTAACCATTTTATTAAGAAAAAAAATTGTACCACTATGGCACTATTCCAGATAATAAAAGTACAGCTGGCCTCACCTTCATGACGGCCAGATTAGTGTCAAGGCCGTCAACTTTAACCCCATCCACTGTTGCTTGAGCTACAACCACTTTTTTATAGCTGTCCTTTGATTCCCTGACTGACTTTTCCAAACAGCCCATCTCACCAACAGCTACCTCACCAACAACAAGTGCCGTCACATTAGGATCACTTGAAGTGGTACCAAAAACAAATCCCAAACCAGAAACCATTGCCAACGATGAGGCTGAGTACATTCTACCTCCATGCTTATGTTGGTTAGATAGCTCTACCAAGGACATATTTGCTAGAGTTCTTAGTATTAGATCCCCTCCGGGGAGTTGTTCACACAGATTAAACATGAGAATATCGTCATGGCAGACCAAATCTACAGAACTAAGTTCTTGAATGGCTTGTAATCGCAAGATTCCAAGCACAGCCTTTGAAAGAGCCTCGTCCCTTGTAACTCCTAAGATTTGAAACTTTTTTATGAATTTGTGGACCAGTAAAATTTCACGGATAATTGCAAGCCAATAGTCACGGCGAGTATGTCCTTTAAGCTCAGGGAACTCTATAATAGCAGGTTCTGATCTACAAGCAAACCCAATTCAAAAGTCAGTGCCTGCTACAGTATCTGAAGGCTTTTGCAGAAGTAGGAACCTTGCGCACTTTAAAATCCGCTATTTTCCACACCAATGAAGTAGCCAAAGCATAACTTACAATGAATTAGAACTGTAGAAAACTGCTTTGTCAAAGAGTCGAGTCCCCCATGGTCCAGTTAATTCAGGTTTAACAACTTGCTTCAAGTCTTCTGAAAGGTCATATACTTTCGGTGTGTCATAGGATACAACGCGAAGAGCTTCAAAGTACAAAGCATGATCTGTAAGAGTTAAACGACCTGCATGCACATGAAAATAAAGATGACAAATTACCAGGTACTACTCTGTGTTTTCTTTTATAAAAGTCACAATATAAGAGGATTTAGTCAGGTTCCAAACTTACCAGGCCAAGTAGATACGCCAACATGTTCAAGAACTGGTTGGGTGGTTACTGTTCCATCTACTTCTAGAATCCTCTCTCTTTTTGCAGATCGCACGTCAGCAAGAAGTGATGAATCCGATTGGGATTTCATTCTCTTTACTGCTCTGTGAGGAAGAATGATTCGAAGAATAAAAAATTATGTTTCCATGAAGTGCAACATTAGCAAAATCAGTAGCAGCAAGCAGCATTAGGCTACAGGAAATCCATATATTGCGAAAGGGGGAAATGTTTTGCTTTCAGGTCCTCCTCCTCCAAGCCTCCTCACGGAGTGCAGTTACTTAAATCGGTTCAACAACTGACAATACGTACAGAAACTAAGAAGTGATAGAATCAATATTAAAACAATATAGGTACCTTTCCAATCCACTTAGGTACTTGTCAAAGATAGAAAACTGAAGTCGGTCATCAGTTGACACAGTCAGCACTTGAAAGAGATTTTCACTTATAACAACATTAGCGATGAGCGGAACTGCTGGAGCTATCCGCGAGAAGGCGTCAAGCCCAACTGTAGGGTCTTCATCTGCCTAAGAGACAAAGAGCAACTAAAACTTAGATCGACAGTTAGAACAACAGAGTACTAAGGGCTCTGTAATGTAAACTTTCTGGAGAATACACATGAGCCCAGAGTTTAAAAACACCAAGCAAATTCATAGGCATTAAGTCTGGGAGAGAGCGGAGAAGAGAGATGAAACAACACATGAAACCATATATCACATTTCAAAATGTTCCGCATATTAAGGCTCACTAGAGTAAGGACAGCAATAAAATGCTGCTACTGCTCATGCAAAGTACAAATATTCCTGTTTATTTAGAACATCATATGCAAGTCACAATCAGCACCATAGTCAGAGCTGAGAAGAGTCTGCTTCAGGACTTTTGGACAGTAAGATGCCTGCTACTAGTATATTGTACATGTACAGCATCAAAGAAAGTTGAGTTATTGATTAGAGTGAAATATGCCCTAGAATCATTTGCATTTGCAATGCTGAAAACATACTACAATTCTCCAAGGGCTATAGCAACAGTGACAGTCACATGCAGTCTCCTTTTCCACATTTTGCTGTTTCTTGCAAGTTGCAACTATCTGTTTCATGTGGCATTGTTCTCCAGATACTAGTACTAATTCCTACTTTCGCTCCCAAACAAATCTCTGTCTAGCTTTCCATTTTATTTAAAGTCCTGTCTGCTTTCAGTCTCCTCCCGGTCATCAGCCCATTTGTATCATGTTTACCCATCAAATTGTAGGAAACATGTGCCCTTCCTGCCAGTTCAGAACCTACATTAACTTAAGTCATCGTAAATAATTGGTACCATGTTCTACCCATCAAATTGTAGGAACATTAACTTAAGTCATCATAGTTTGATGAACAGAAACCTATAATACTTGGCCAATACAAAGGATATTTGTGTATTATATTAATGTCAGGATGTAAAAATTGTAGGATGGCCTGAAGCCAATTCTTTTGGATTATCATATATCTTTCTTTATGAAGGACCTGGAGTAAATTACAATTACTACTCCATTCATTTTCAGTGATCCCGAAGAAACAGCTATCTATTTGAGGTGTTCGTGGATCCGACACTACCCCTACACT